TTTGGCTTGGAGAGCTCCAATTGTCTTGTGAGGCGAGGATCTTTTGTGAGGTCCTCAAGTGCTGGCTTATTTGTTGTTGTGAAGTGTTGTAGGTTTGAAAATGAGTTGTTTGTACTGTCAGCATTAGATGGTGGGGTCTTAGGCCTGATCTTGTAGTCTTTCTTATTCTTGTTTGGTGAAATGGTTACATTGGGTCTGTTTATGTTATTTGAAAAGCCTGTCTCTGAAGCTTGAGGACTGAAAAAATCCTTTGAGGCGTCCACAATAGCTGCATAACTCTTTCTGGGTCCCCTGGCCCTATCCAGAGCTTTTTTTCTTAAGAGTGGAAAGTGGTCCTTAGTTTTGTGTGGGGCTACTGGGTATCCAAAAACTTGTATTTTTGCTTCACGGTAGGAAATATTGTCATATGCCACTAAAACATTTACTTCTGCATGCTTTTTATAGACTTCGCACTGTGTGTCAGTACTCCTATGGTTATTTTTGCCCTCTGGGCAATTGACACATTTGAAAGTAGGTGATTGGCACACACCTTCATGCTTGTCTGCACTACATTTGTAACATATTTCCTTGTTCTTGCATAACAGGGCTTTGTGGTCGTACTTGAAACATTTGTGGCATTGGAAAGGTTTGGGTACATAAGGCTCCACCAAGAACTTCACCTTGGCGATGAATACTTCCCTTGGTATTTGCAGTCCCTCGAAGGTAAGTAGCATTGATTTGCTTGGAATCCATTTGGTCTCTGCAGTAGGATTACGATTTCTCATATCGAGCCTCTTGATGTCTACTAGCTTAAATCTATCAGGGCATTCCAGGTTATCTATGATGGTTTGATTGTCCACCTCGGTGTCGACGCCACGGATAATTCCTTTTTTTATATATCTTTTGGCTGTGGGATTGTTCGTTTCAAGTTTCTTGCTTGACAGCTTCTCCTCTTTCATCAGTTTTTTAGCCTCTTCTTCATCGCTTAGGGTTAGCAGTACCTCTGTTTTGCCTTTTTTGGTGCAGCTCACGATGCTGGTGTATCCAATTTTACTTATGTACAAGCTTACCGCTATTGCTGAGATATTTTTGTTTATGTCTGTCGACTTTATCCACACATTGTGCAGCTCATTGTCTGCGCTTGCCTCGTCATTCTGTTGGGCTTCTGTTCGAGCTCGTTTATTTGTGTAATACATTTCTTGACCTAACCTCCCGCAGGCGGGGGCGGCTCTTTTTGTGTCAGAAACACTAATAGTGCGAGGTATTTTGAGCTGTTCGGTTCACTATCCTTACTCTGGTGTCTAGATGATCAATCGAGAAATGACTCTGTATTAGCACTTTGATTTTTAATTGTTATAATCTTTTGATAATCAAATGGATTTTTTCGCTCGTGCCATCCGCCATCCGTTCGCCTTTTCTTTTCTTTATTTTTCGGGTACCGCTTGTAGCGCCATCCATCTTATGGGTTCAGTACTATAGGTCGGTAACAGAAAATTGTCCTCAATTTAATACATGGCAACGGACTTCTATACATAGTATCTATCTTCTTTCTTTGATATAACATTTACCTTTACCCTACTTACCACTTACCAGCATTTAGCCATACGAAAAGACAGACATGACTATATACTTTTAGTCGATACTTGCGAGTATCTATGGCACCGATACAATAGTTAAAATTATTGGATAGTATCGTATAGCCGAACGGCCGACCACTATACAGCTTTCCTTTCGCACTCGCGACCGTTCATTTCCTTAAATTTACTCAAATAAGTTATAAGGTAGTTGTTCTAGAGAATTTGAAACTGTCATATTGCAGTTGCAGCTGTTGATAGCTCAACAACTTATCACTATTCATTCGTTAACCAGTAAATGAATACAATGGAAAACGAAATCTTGAACATTTTAGAGGATGTCGGGTAAGATTCGAGGTTACTTGAACGGTTTAATAAGGGTAGTTTTTGAGAGGAATAACATAAAAGTAATTTTTTGTTGCTTATCAGGTACACCGGTTCACTGCTTAACCTAGAAAATCTCACTCGAGCTATTCAAGAAGGTGCTCAATCTACAGAGTATACCGGCCTCGTTTCTTGGTTGACGGATCAAATCGGCAGTTTTGGAGTAACTGAAGAGACTGTCCATGTTACTTCATCTTCTGAAGATGCAAGCTCATTTTTGCTCGAGATCAGTACATTTTTGAAAGAAATAGGTTGCTTGAACACAAGACTCACAACTGGCATCACAAGCCAGCTTTTGTCCACTTATAATGATAGAGAAGCACTCATTGAATATTTGGCCACTGAGCTCATGACTTGTAAAGTATTAGATTCTTATAAGCCAAAAGATCAAAAGTTTGAAGTAATTATAGTAAGTAAAAGCAAATTTTTTTGTGAATTTAGCAAGAGTTAATTCTAAACGTTTTTTTAATTATTTGTCTTTAGAGTGAAAGTGTTACTGCTAAATATATAAGGGAAATGATGGTGGCCCTAAAATTTCAGAAACCCCCAGAAAATATAACTTTTAATTTAATTTTCAAGAAAATCATAGAAAAAATCAAGGAAATTTTAAAAAAAGTTCCCAAAGAACTCATTGGAAATCCTTTATTCTTAGGAGAGTTGAATACAGATCAATGGAATAAATTAAACCAAATATATCATCAGCTATACAAGGAATATTCTACAAGACGGGAAATGTTGTTAAAACGACTAGACATGACAATCAGTTCATTCACAGTTGGTACTTTGTGTATAATATTTAATATTATCAATTTTAATAGATTTTCACTGTTTTTTATTTATTAGTGGTCTGAAAGAACAAAACCCTTACAAGAACAAATTTACATGTGTTTTCACCCTAAACGAGATGCAATGAGAATAGAACCATACGTTACCTGTGGTGATCTTTTGTCAACCAGAGAAGATTTAGCTGTCATAGAAAAAACAAGTAGTGCCTCAGTACGAAAGAACACTAAAAGCTCTGTTAATAAAGTGATAATAGGAGCAGTTCCTGATAGAGGGGGTAGATCTTGGGAGCAAGAACCTCCACCACCAGAAATGCCTCCATGGCAAAAAGATAAAGTTCCAGCTCCTTCTAGGTAATTTAAATGTATATTAATATAATTATTAATAAAAATTAATATTTTTATTGTATATAAAATTAAGTAAACTTATTTATTTCTATTTGCATTGCAGGGGGGGAGGTAGAGGTAGTCGTGGAAGTCAGCATAGTGTACGTGGAGGTCCCCAAGGAGGACGTGGGGGTCAACAAGGAAGCTATGGTGGTTTTCAAACTGGATATGGAGGTCAACAAGATAATAAAGGAAATGACCAAAGAGGAGCACAAGAAAGTCACCACAGAGATTACTACGATAGCCAAGGCAGTTATTCATCCAGTAGAAACACCAATCAAAGCAGTTTTAATAGACACGCAGGATTTCAAAGTGGTTATCCAGAAAACAGAAATCAGAGATCTAATCATAGAAATTTTAATGACCATCAAGGAATATATCAGAATAATCAAAGTGGTCAGGGAGATCATCAAAATTACCATGGTCACCAAAGTAATTATCAAAGTCAGAATAATCTAGGAAATAGGCACAGTAACTATGGACAACGTGGAAGTGGTCGCGTTCAAGGGGGCTGGAATAACCCTAGAGCAAATGATCAAGGTTATCAGCAAGGTAACCGTAAATATTAGGAATCTGCAGTATAACTAGGATCCTCTTGTTTACATTTAAGTTTATTGATCTATGATATCAGTATCAATATATTACTTTAGGAAATACTTTAAAAATACGTATTAAAATAATTAATTTACAATATCAAGCAAATAAAAACATAAATATTTATTCAGAAAATTTACAATATATTTACAATTATTGAATTTGTTATATTCATTGATTAGAATTCATACATATTCATTTTTAATGTTATTTAAAACCATTTTATTACTATAACATTAAGAAAACTGATCTAAAGTTTCATCTGATAGTTTTCTTTTTCTTCTCTCATCTGAAGCAGGTAAAGAATTCATTTCTAGTTGTACATTTTGAGCAACATGATAGTCATTATGCTCTTCAAATTTATTTGTTAAAATTAATTGATGACATTGCAAACATTTTTTGAAATTTTCTGCTTTGTTATTAGTTCCAGTCTTGATGAAAAAATGTTGAATATCAGTTTGAGGATTACTATAGTTAGAAACTACTAGCTTACACTTAGGTGGCCTGCCCCGACCACTCTTAGCAACTAACTTGACTTCTTGTTTTTCACAGGCTTTAGAGTTTGACCGTTTTTGTTTTAAAATATTAATATCTTCACTTACATTTTTTATACCTTTGACTTTGAGAAACTTTTTTGCTTCATCTTGTAATTGCATTGGTAACATATGTAAAACATCCAAATCTATATCATTAAGATCAGGAAATATTTCTTGTAATTTTAACATTGCGTTATTTGATACAAAAAATGAAATATTTGATTTAGGTTCATTTTTTTTCTCCATAACTGTTTCATTGAATTCAGTAGCACTCTCATACTTATCTGCAAAAAAATTTGTGTTACATTCTAATAAAATGTCTTTTCCTTTTTCATCCTCTCCTTTTTTTCCTTTTTCATCCTCTCCTTTTATTACTTTTTCATCCTCTCCTATTTTTACTTTTTTATCCTCTCTTTGTTTCTCTTCTTCATTTTCTCTTTTTTTTTTCTTTCCATCCCCTGCTCTTTTTTCTTTTTCATCCTCTATTTCATTTTCTACTCTTTTGTCCTTCTTATCTTTTCCTGTCATTGGGCCATCATCATCACATTTATGATTTTTCAATTTATTTTCTTTTAAAACAGTAATGAAAAATGATTGTTTAAATTTCTCGTGTTGTAGGGACTTTTGTAGCTTACTACATGGTGAGAATTTGTCATTTTTCTTTAATGATGTTGAACAAAATTGAGAATTACTACTCTGTTCTATTGGTATTGAAATGTTTTTTGAAGTTTCTGAATTATTTTCATTGCTATTATTTGAATTTGTTATTTGAGTTTTTAACTTTTTTATTAATTCTACATGTTCATCAAAAAAATTATTAACATCCTCTTTTTCTGACCCTTGTAAATTATTTAAACTAGAACTCGGCTTAAAAAAATTTTTTAAATTTTCACTACCTCTAGATTTTATAAACTTACCAGCAGATACTCCTAAAAATGAAATAGGAAGATCTTGTGTAACTTTTAAAACTGCATTAATACTCATTTCTGCAATTTTTTCCTGTTTATAAGTGGTCAATGCAAAAGCTCGAGATTGAGAAATGACTTTTTTATTTTGAATGTAATGAAAACTAACAGTTAGAGAAGTGGCTTTTCGTTCATTTTCTTCAAAATCTTGTTCAAGCCTTTCACTAATTTCTGATGATAATTCTCCAAGCCAATGCCTCAGCTGTTAAATGTTGATTGTATTTAGGTAAATTAAGTTTTATATTTTAACTTTTAAAAATGATTTAAACTCACAGTTTCTACTTTGACGATGGTTTGCTTTCCTGGAAAACGCTTGCATGCACCAATAGATTTTGAAACTAGTCTTGGAGTAACAGGCTCATTATCAATCCCTCTCGCTATGTGATATAACCAATGACTAAAATTTGTGAGAATTACAACTAATTCATAGTGTTTTATCACTGACATGCAAATTTTAAAATATCATTTTACCCAGTTTTCCTGTCGAACCGACTTTGCAGATCTTGCAAAGAATATTGCAGTAAGTCTGACATTACATGACATCCTAATGCATCAAGGACCATATCTCCTAATTTTCCTCCAAGGTTTCTTACTTTTTTGACAGGCAAGGAACCAAATAATTTAGACACAGATGAAGCAGGTAATATTGTTTGTTTTTGTGGCTTATGCAAACCACAAGCCAATTTTGCTAAAATCTAATAAGTTAAAAGAGCAAATGAAAATTTCCCTGTAATTTCATGTATTAATTACCTTGTTAAATGAAATTCCAGCAGAGCAATTGAAAGTTGTTGTCTCTTTGATTTCTTGTCTTAAAAATTCAACAAATCTTCCAGCTATAGCCAATCTCTGAATCTGAATATCCTCTGCAGCTTCTGCTATCCATTCCTCTAGACCTTTGCGTCTTTGTTCTAGAGCACATAAATAAATAAATGTTTTGAATCTCAGAGATGCATGTATCCATACATACCTTCATTATTAACGTTACACTCTGAATGCCCGATTACATAGGTAGTTTTTAACTCTTCTACCACCGCAGGATCAAATTCTTTTTTGGCTAATTGATCGTCAACGATCTGCGTTATGTCCAAATAAGCCTCGTCGACGCTAGCTCGTTCCACCATAGTGCAGTGTTTTTTCAGTACGTCAATAACTTCGCGACCAGCGCTTCGGTATCTTTGACATGAAATTGCATTGATAATAACCAAAATTACGCAGCATATTTGAATGTTTTTTACCTCGACGTGTCGGCTTTTCCACGTGAACCCGGTACGACAGCCAAAATAATGTGAGGACATTTCTCTCTAGCTTCTTCTCCTCTCATGTGGCGTGTGACACCGAACTCTCTGGCTTCATAATTGACAGCTATTATACTGTAAGAATGAACGTAATGTAATTTTGTTCACTCAAATTTTGACACTCGATACAACATCGTGTTGTTTTTATGGCGCTTACCCTCCAGTTCTCCAAAGATTGTATTGCACTACAGCTAAGGGTTTACCAGCGTATTCCGGCTTTAGTCTCGTTTCGACTTGACAAAAAAAGCAGTCCATGTCAATGAGGACAACTATTCGGTTACCTAAATCAACTGCCATTTTGACAATTTGAATTAAATGACGCTTCTAGAGCATAAACGAGTCACAATGTGCCCATTCACGGGCAAACATTTAATAACACAATCGGTAGCTGCTCCGGAATTCGTAGTCCGAATGCCAGAGATTGGCCCAGACTCCAGAGTACGATTGAACGTTAACAGCAACTGCGCTGTGGGAACTGATTCACTGACAGTGGCTCATGAATAGTGATTTGTTATTGTTATCATCGTGCCGTTCTCGAGGTGCCCGCGCTCGTTTCGCTTGGCCGGCTCTAGCAGACACTACAACTTACACGAGTGAGTAAATGAGTGAAGCGTCAAGCGACAGCGATGTAAAATATCCGGGCCTTAAATGTTAGGTGACAGTCAGAATATGATCCAATATTTGACGGTCACCCAACATTTTTGCTCTTTTAATTCTAATGAGTTGCGATCACGGCGTTTTGTCCCCGGACCCCAGTCTTAATTATATAATCTTAATTATAATATAATAGAGCAACATTATAATAGAGCAAGTTAATTAAAAGTGACGGTACATTGAAATATCAGAATTTCAATTCTGACTTCAAAATGATACTTCATGGTAAAATTAATTTTAACAGATTCAGCATGTAGTTTTTTTATATGTATTTAAATTTCTTATCCTTCGAGTTTTTACATTGTAAACAGTGAATCTTTGACGAATGAACTCAATCAAATAGCTCAAGACGTATTCAATTTTTCATACATAATCTATCATGTACAACAATATAAACATTCGTTGATGTATATAAAATGCAACAATTGCAGTTGGAAAAATGTAACAATTATATCCTTATGAAATTTTCAGGGTAAATGTGCTAAAATCGACTATTTAAAAAAAAGTGTAATTTTGTTAACCATAGCTCTTGCGTATGGTAATTAAAAATTATTTTGAAAATACTTTCTGACGACAAAAGGTGAAAGGTGGCAGCGCGTCAGGTAGACTTCTGATAGCTCGGCGCGACATTTTGACCCTGACAGCTCGACCTCGATAAAATTTAATATTTTTTTGCGATCGGTATTATTTGTGTATCGGTAAGTGTGTTCGTTTTTAATTATATCGTGTTTCAGGTAACATTGTACTGATGACAATTATATTATATATCGTGTTTTGAGTAACATTACTATGTTGCTAATCTTTCTTTACACATTCTATTATTAATAAATTTGTTTTTACATCCACTTTATTTTTGGTTTTTTTTGGTGACGACTTGTCGCAGGGTCAAGCTGTAACCGGTCGAGATGTCGCATATTTGAGTTGTCCACGAGCGAATTGGCGCAGTTCGAGTTGTCATTTGAGATGATGTGGGCCCTTTCATATAAACCTCATGCTTCCAGAAAGTCTAGTGATCGACGCGGTCATCTGATCGAGAAATTGGTATCCTATTTTTTATTATATGTCCACGGTGTTATCAATAAGTATTTAAGGGTCTTGAATAATTTTCATACGTTTAAAAGTTTGCAATAAATATGTTGATATAATTTGTTGGTCATTAACTGAAAGGTGATCAGTAACCAGCTCATTTACCCTACATACTACACTGGTTCTTCCTTCTCAAAATTTCTTATCTTCACTCCGGACGCTGTTTTAGATTATCGGGGCTAAAAAGTGAGAAAAATAACACGCTTGGTTCAAAAGTTAATCATTAACAAGTGGGGCAACTCAAATAACCGAAATCGATTTGCAAAAAAATCCTTGAAAGGTTTCAGTTTGTTGAGTTGCAGCAAGTGTTGATTATTAATTTTTGGGCACAGTATTATGTTTTTCTTACTTTTTAGACACGAAGTATCCAACCCGCGTCTGGAGTGAACGAAACACTTAGGAAAATAAGACCCAGCAGCAACTACATATGTAATATGCGTTACAATATAGATAAGTACATTACGCACGGAGTGGCGTGCGGGAAAATCTTAAAATTAACTTCCTGCACTCGATGATGAAAAATACTATACGTAACTGAGGTGGTGGTCAATTTTGCACTCGTGTCAATGCAACCCTAGCTACGCTCGGGCTGCAAACTGACAGTCTTGCAAGATAGACAACCTCCCGCCTCAGTTACGTAATGTACTATTACGTGATACAATGCATGAATAGAAACTACGCTACAATTATTAATCTAATCAGTTTTTGTTGTACACTTGATTACAACCAAAGAGCATGTTTGGCGCGTTACTGTAAATCTAACGTTTTACCGGTGATCATATGTTTTATATCAACCAAGTACCATAAAAATTGATACTGACTTTTTTACGCGAAACATGATTATTTACACAAAAAAAACGTACAGCAGAAAAATATTTTTATAGGAAATAGTAACGGATAAAGTATAAGCTCTGTAAACCGACGAGCTCAAGTTCGCCAGAATAAAAAGGCATAAATATGCATTGTTTTATCTCGAGATATTCTACTCTAAGCTTTCGCGTAACTAGGTAAACTTGCTACAAGCAAAATAGAATTTACATTTAAAAAAAATAAAAAGCAAATGAAAATTTTTCGATCTTCTTTTCCTTTGCACACTTTTGTTTCTCTTATCATTTACGCATTAATGATAGTACAAGTCATTGCAGCCACGGGAATCCAAAAATGATTTAACATTTCGTATAAGGAGCAGTATACGATGAATCGAGTGAAGGATCAAAGTTTGATCACCAAACTGAATTCGTTGAAACGATCTACACCTAGTTCTTGAGCGCGTTATATGTCATACATGTACAATGAGCACTTATAAAATCCGCGGGCTTCACTTGTCTTAGTAAAATTATCTACAAATACAATCGCATTTGTTTATATGTAAGTATATACATAATGTATATTGTACTTGCAATACAATTCATTTATACATATATTAGTAACAATTACTTCTTTTAATGTACAACAATATAAAAGATACGGAAGTGTCGTTCGCGAGACAACAATACATATATTTTATATATAAATAAGGTCTCTCTGTTTCTCTCATTCTCTCGTTCAGACCCGCTAGAATCAATTACGTCGGAAATGTCGCAACCACTTGAATGGACCATTTTTGCTCGTTCGTCATATAAGTGAACTCGACAGCTTGGCCTGGGGCGTCTGGACAACTGCGGCTGGTGTCTCGGTCAAACTAGCCGATCTGAGTCGTCGCGGCACGGGACTGTTGGGTGCCGAAGCCGAGATCGGTCGAATTCCCCGAGCAGCCTGTATGAGCGAGGACTGGGAGCCGCCCCCAACGCCCGCTAACAGTTGGGCTTTTTGGCGCTGGTGCGCGTAGAGCAATACACCGACGTCGGCGTGTCCAGCCTCGAGGGCTATGCGCAGAGCCGAACTGCCATCGACATCGGTGACACTGGCGTCGCAGTCGGGCTGCGTCAACAGTAGTCGGACTATCTCGGCGTGTCCGTGCTCGGCTGCGCACATGAGAGCCGTGCTGCCGTCCTCGTCCTGGAGGTTGACTGCTGCTCCCGCCGACAGTAGTAGGGCTGTCGTGTCCTTTCGCCCGTGCGAGACAGCGAGCATCAGGGCCGTCTGTCCGTGCTGAGAACAAAAGCCAGAGTTAAAAAATTGACTTTATTTTCGTCCTTAAACATTTTATGCTAGAACGTGTTATTTTAGCTTTTTTTCAACAGTTTTCTTCGGCATTTCTTTCAACCTTTATAACGCGTTATTAATACAAAAATCAGCGATTCTTGAATTCTTTCGATGACTAACTTTATTCAATTTTGAATTTTAGGTTTTTTTTTGCATAGCAGCCACTATTCTTGCCACTAATTAACTATTCATCATTTAAAATTACAAAATATGAAAAAACATATTTTTAGGGTCAATTTTTACTTCAATCCGATGTTTGAAGCGTGGACATTATTTATTAAGATTCATGCAGATCGTGACCTCGATGTTTAAAACTTGATAATTAATTTTATACCCAATTAATTTTATAAAAAAATTTTTTGTTTAACAAAGTGGGGGCTGAATTTAAAAATATACTATTTATTGTCTAAAATAATCATTGCATGTAGAGAAAATATTCGTATAAAACAAAATTTTCTTGGAATTAGTCAAAAAACATTCTCAAATTTTATCATAATTGTTAGAAATTATTTTCAATCATTTGATAGACTCTGAAACTTTTACGTTCAAAAAACCCTATTTCGAATTAAAAATTAAATTTTTAGTTGGCAATGGCCTGAAATATCAAACAAATATATTTCTTTAGATTGTGCTTCAAGTTTAAGAGCTGAAATCTCTATATTTTTAATTAAAACTATTTTTTGAAGTGCAGCGACACCTACGAAAATGTTGGAAAAATCCACACGTATTCTATGAAAATGTAGTTGAAAATTTTCGCCGGTTATATCACTGCACTTCAAAACAAGATTATTATTAAAAAAATATAGGGGTTTCAGCTCTGAACTTGGAGTGCCGTTTGAAAAATTTGAAAAATAATAATTTATATAACTTGTAATTAAATATTATCAAATTTATAAGAGCTTTCATCTTAAAACATTTTACTACGTAGTTGACCTTTTGTTTTATCGGATAATTAATATTTAAAAAATCCATATTTCCATTTGTAATTAATTTTTTGACTCTTGTGGTTGGCTTTTTTTTTAAAGTTGTTCAAGAATACACTGTAAAAATGTCATTAGAAAATATCCAAAACTGTAAAAGATACAGCGAGTTAAATACAAATAAAAAAGTCATTTTCATGAAAATTGGCTTTTTTCTATGACAATGTCTTAAAAGAAAAAATAAATGTCATGATCGGAATCAGCAACAAAAATTACATAAAAAATGATGTAATATAGACACTTAGCTAACGCGGCTCATTACGTCTCTTATTTTACTTTTCGGCAATAGCCCACAGCTCGCTTATGTATATAATACTGAACGGTGTCTTGTCGTTTTTCGATACCAAACATCGAGATCGTCTATGCTCGTAGCGAATACCGATATGCTAAAGAGCTAATGTGCAGTCGTGTAAGAGCGATGACGTCTGAGACGACAGAAATTTTAATAATTTTGAACATACGTTAAAACGTTTATATGATTCAAGTCGTGGTTGAGTAACAGTAAGTGACAATTATCTAAAATAAGGATAAAATCGGCACAGCGGCAGCATCAGCAGTATGTTGTTTTAGATTTAGTAGGTATAGGAGGATGTGTTATGTGCACTTACCAATCTGGCGCGTACGTTGACATCGGCCATGCGGAAAAGGCGCTCGACGACCGCGGCGTGAGCGGGACTCCTTAGCCGGGCAAGGGCAGCTAGCATGGCGGGCGTGTAGCCAGCCCCATTGGCCCGATCGACGTCGCAGACCTTCGAGTCAAGCAGCACCGAGACGACGTCGAAGTTGCCGTGCGAGACGGCGTAGTGCAAGGCCGTGTTGCCGCTCGAGTCGCGCAGGTTGACCACGTGACCAAGCAGCGAGTCGTGATGCTCGAGCCTGTCGAGCCAGCGCTCGACCAATCTGGCCTCGGCCCCGGCGACGCTCGTCGCTTTGAACCACTCGTGCTGCACGACGTTGGCCGCGTTCGAGCAGGCGGAGGTCTGCTTGTTCAGGCCCTCCTTGTCCAGGAGATCGAGCGCTGCCGTAATCTCGCGGGAAAGGCAGGGTCCGCCGATCGTCCTGTCGGGTGTCGAGTCGAGGGCGACGCTTCGAACCATTTCCTCGCTCAGTTGGCTAATTGGCATCTCCTCGATCTCTTCATTTTCGACGCTTCGAGATGCTGCTGCTGCTGCTGCTTCCGCTGCTTGCGCCGTCGATGATTGCGTCAGGGGTGGCTGCGATTTAGGCTCCGGGGCCGGTGGGGGTGCTTTGCTCGGTCTGCTTAATACTTGTTGAGTCGGCGGTGTTGCGGTAACTTTGCGAGCCGGTGACTGTTGAAGCGACTTTGGCTTGGCTGGCGTTTGCGGACGCGACGACGTATGTCTATCCGCGTAGTGCCTATCCAGCAAATCCGACCTGTGTACAAACATGCACTGTAAATTGTTATATATTTGACATCGTGGATAAAGCTATATTTGGCTGTCGATTGGTATTATGCAATGCCCGAGCAATACGCGCGTGCAAATGAGAGAGAGAGAAAGGGAGAACGGAAATCAATCTGTTGCGCGCGACAAACATACCCAACATTTTTATGCATCTTATACGGGGTCAGACTTACAGAAAGAGCATAATGACCAAAATGTCTTTTAATTTAAAACGCGCGGGTCGATGTCATAATACCGAGTGTTAAATTGCAACTTTATGCAGCAAAATGAAAAGCCGAGGTACGGGTAATTAAGAAGAGATAAGTCAAAGGGGCACGTTACGTTTTTACCTGAACGTGCGAGCGTATCTTTCGCAGATTTTCTGCGTATTGTTGTTGGCGATCGGTGCGTAATAGCCCATGCTCCTCGCGATCAGTTGCATGTCGCGAATCGATGTATATGAGAAAAGAACAAGATCGACGAGAGGTGTCCGAGCGTAAAAGAAAGCGCGCCAGGTAACCGAATCACATGGCTAGCATTGGCGCGTGCAAAGCTTATGGCGTTCCAAGCTCTACTGACAGCTGGCAGTCGGCTGACAGCGCATACAGCAAATTTCAGGAGAATAATCGGCCCCGATCAATTATTCATACACGCAGGCGGCTGTGCGGCACACTCGCATACATGGATACATAAAAAAGCCTCGAGTGCCGAGCAGCGAGCCACTCGAGGACGCGTGCGTCGGTGCGTCTGTGCGCGCGTCCGTGCGCGTGTGCGAGAGGTAGGCCTGCGTGGGAGCTGCAACAACCTGCGGATCGCTGCTACAGCATCTGGCGTCATTGATGACTTTTTAATACGCAGCAGGGGCTTTAATAGCTGATGAGATGCTAAACGATACAGGGATTGCGACAGAGAGCATGGCATAACGTCATCTTCGCGTTAGTGTCCCCACCGCGGCTACTTTACGCTTAATCCTCCGAGCTTTTCTACGTGTGTGCGCAGTGCATACATATCAAACAGATCTATGTATTGTAGGTATACACGTTCTCGCCGTAAAAGGTCAAGTCTCGCGGCTAAAGCGAGATAAATGCAACAGAGACATTTAACAGCCTGTCGTTTCTTTTTCTTGCATTACTTATTTTTCATCATTCACAACTCTGAAACAATATTTTCTTTCTCTCTCTCTCTTTCTATAATCCATCGACACAGTACTTGTCACGGTCAGCCTCTGCAAGGCATTTTTCGCACATTTACGCGCTCCTTGGGATGACATAAGTATTATAATGGTGTAAACGTTGTTTACGTAAAGGTCAGTGAAATGCTGGAGCAAGTACACGGCCTCGTTGAGTTTTTAGACAAGTAGAAATAAGTGGGACAGGGTAAAGCACTCGAGAAATATGTATATTATGTGTGGTAATAAACGCAACGGAAGCATGAGCTAATAATCGAAATGTCTACTTCCCGTTGGACACGCTTTCAATGAACTTTAACGCTTACACCGCTTGTGTACGTAACTTATTTACTACATATAATGTACACACACACACACGCATACACAGACACAGACACAGGCATACTTTGGCTGAACACAAAGGTATGGAGGCACGAACGAATTTTATATATGATTATATCGTAAAAGCTTACATGCAGCTGCGTTGTGTCAATAAATAGCAAGCTTAAGGTAATGCGCACACTCTTACTGATATTAACCTCGGCACATATATATTTTAACGTTTAAAATACGCGTGTCGCGCGCACGTACAATAGCCAGCTGCAGCGGCAAAAAGAAGAGGAACAAGATGTAGCACTATATGGCGCACGGGAGGCAGGGCGCACACTACGACAAGTCGAGAGCGTAGGCGTGCGAGTGCGTTGCGCGCGAGCTATGTGTACGTTCGGACGAGTGCGCGTGCATGGCGACACATGCTTATTGATTATTTGGCCATGCGACGTATAGTAAAAGGCCGATACCGAGCGAATCTCGGCTCCTCTCGCGCTGCCCGGGACGCGACCACTGCGCTGTTGTATACTCTATCGTAATATCCCATGGCCCACGGTGCAGCGCCGAAGCACGCGCCCGTCCGTAAGGGTGCGATGCGCGCGCAACGAAAGCTCCGGCCTCCGATTGGTAATTCGTGCCTGGCCGAGGCAGGACGCTTATTGGCGCGCGGCCCGATCGAGTTACTGCATGGTTTTTCGTGCGGCGCGAGCGACGAGTGTGCCACCCGCATTCCGCAAAACGAGTTTTACTCTATGTACGAGTCCCGACATTAGAAAGTCCACGGGCAAACGAAGGAAACGCGTCGGGCTCGGACCGGTGTGCGCGCTTGAATTGCGAATTATCTACAAATTGTGAACTTTGTCGATCTGAATTGCAACGAATGTAACCTCAGCGATGTATTATAAATTTAGCCCGCTCGCTCGTTGCCAGCTCGTCCGCGCATAACATTATTGTAATTCGTCTCTCGTGGCGGCAATAACGAGCCTGGCGCGTACGTATACGAGTCATCCAAAATCAGCGAAACAAGCGTCCAAAGTGAAATCTCCGTACATACGGCGCTAGCTTTTATTCGCGATCTTCTTTTCGGTTGGCGCATTTATAACGAGTAGCTCGTACTCGAGCGAGCTTTTCCTCGTGCAACGGCATTTCGTGCACGCATACCGAATTCGAAGAAAAAAAAACTAGAAAAAACTCACCCCTCGAGCTTATCAAGGCTCTGGGTCCAAGTGTTCTGTCTTATGAGGTTGCTCTTGCTTCTCGGATCGTTGGGCACCGGTATTCTCGTTCGTGGCCTCGCGTCCGACTTGGTTCTCTGCAACGGTGCTGGGTGTTGCGGCTGTTTCTTTGCTCTCTCGGCGCTGGCTGCTCGTTGCTTGCTTACTACCTGATGTAGACCCACTCGACTTTTGGCTACGGCGATTCTTGTTCGCTGTTGTTTTTGTTGTTGTTGTTGTTGTTGTTGCTGCTGCTGCCTCGTCATGCTGGCTAATGATTTGTCAAGATCGTTGGCTGGAACCGGTCGATTCATGCGACTTTGGCTGGCCTGCTTGCACTCGTCGCAGTAGTTGGTACTGCTGGCACTGCTAGTCGTGCCGACCGAGGCGTCGATGAGCTTGACACTTTGGGACGGTGACGTGGCCGCGTCTCGATGTCTCTTTGCCGGGGTCTCGGTTGAGCGCGTCACCTGACGGCTTCGCAACTCGTTCGGTCCTATGCTCGTTGCGACGCTCTTGTGGCTCGTTGGCGCTCCATCTTTTTCCCCTAGACTGCTGCTCGACGCCGAGATGAGCTCCTGACGGCGCAGCTGCACGAGGCTCAGACTCGCGTCGCACGTCTCCGTCGAGACGCTGTTCGAGTCCGGCTTGGCGCTCACTCCTCGATTAAGTTTAATTTTCCTCCTGGAAAAAATGAATCACCGCCGGTCACGCGTTTTCCCGCTCTACGTAAATCGCGCAAAAGTCGCGGCGCCGTCACTCACCAGGATGGGCTTTCGGTCGCCTGGACCTCCTTGTTGTTTCTTTTGGCGTGCATGCCCCGGAACATGACCTCGCCAAGCTCCTTGTCGGGGATCTTCGGATTAGCCGTCGCTTTGTCGACGGTCTCGAGCCGACGGCTTTGAGTGCTTCGATCGTGGCATTGGCTTTTTTCACTTTCGAGCCTGCCTCGGGCATTTCGATGCTGCGTTCCGACGCTCGCACACGTTGTCGGACCGGCGCTCGAACTGGCCTCGCTCTGAGTCGATTTCGAGACGGATAGATTGGTCGTCTGCGTGGTCGAGCTCGTCAACCATACGGGCTGGGGACTCGTCCAGTTGTCTCGGCTTTCGACCTGCTTATCATACGTACGAGTCACGACGCATCGAGTAAACTTTTGTTACCGATCTCCGGTGCATCGAGTGCTCGGGTGATTCGAAGGAGTGAATTGACTTGGCGTACCTGTCGGGTAGCGTCAACGGCTACGTCTCTGGTGGCTACGGCGCAGCCGGTGGCCGCGTCCCTTCTGTTGGTCGCGCTTCTGGCCTCGGCCCTCTTGAGGCAGGCCAGCTGATCGAGCAGCAAGCTTCGCTCCTCCCGCAGCAAGTCGATCTGCGCGTTCAGCTGGGGCACTTGCTTGACCTGCTCCTCGAGCTGCCTCATGCGCTCGAGAGCGGCGGCCATTTGCTCCCTGACGTGTTGCAGGGACTGCTTCGTAGCTGCATTGTTTTTATCCGCCTCGTAGCTGCATTCTTGCTTGGATGGCTGCTGCTGCTGCTGCTGCTGCTGTTGACGAGCTTGGCTAAGAATGAGCCGGGTCGACAGAGGATAGTCGAGGCTCGAGGGTGGCGGCGGTCGAGCCGGCACCGCCGGACGAGGCGAACAGGTACCGCTGCGATTCGTTTGGTAGTACGGCTGCTGCTGCTGATAATCTGTCGCCATGATTGACGGCTCGAGCGAGCTGAGACGTTGGAGCGTACTCGTGTTAATTAGTCAAAGGCGCGCAATACTGCCTCGTGCGCGTGTAGTATACCATGGCTCTTATAGAGTGGTAAATATAAATAAGCTTGTAAATATAGAGCTCGGCGTACCTGTGACATCGGCTGGCGATCGACGTCATGCTGGAGCTACGGCTCGGGCCGCTGAACGACTGCGAGAGCGTTTGCTCGAAATTGCTCAGCGTGTCCTCCCAGTCCTTGTGCGACTGAGCCGTCGTGCTCTCGGGGGCCTGGCGTGTCTTCGGAAGTGCTGCTGCCGCTGCTGCTGCCTGACTCGGACGCTCTACCGGTGTACTCGTAGCCACTGCCCTCATCTCGCTCTGCGCACGACATCGTGGTGTAAATAACATGTACGCGTAAAATTGCTCAACTTTGCCTGCTCGATCAGAAAACTTTCTCCGCGAGCTGCGAGTGAGATCGTCGATGAACGGCAAAAAAAAAGGCAAAAAAAGGCGAGAGAGAAAGAGAGAGAGAAAAGTTGCGTATTGTATCCGTACCGATGGCGGAGGAGACGTATCGGCATCCGTACTCGATGCATCGGCCTCGTCCGGTAGGCCAAGCATAAATTCCATCGACTGGCGCTGCTTCTGCTTGGCTCGTCTGCGGCGCTTCTCCTCGGCCAGCCTGTCGCAAGCCGCGTTCTGCCAATCCTCGCAGAAACGCACGAAGTCCACGTCGATGTGGTAGCCATACGGGCAGCAGTCGCATTCGCTGCCATACTTGTAGCCGTTACTGTCGGCGACCGCTCGCCGCTGGCGCTGCTGCGGACAACGATCGTTAACCCGATCCACGACGACGCTCGCCGCGCCGTTATTGCTATTATTATTATGATGACGATGGTGCTGAGGATGATGGTGCGATTGTTGTGGCTGACGACGCTGCACGCTGAACGAGGCGCTTCGGTACAGACCTTAAAATGTTTGCATTTATTTTTATGGATTCAAAGCTCATTCCAATTCTGAGCGGATTCGATAGTCTAACATCGACACCTGCACTCGAGAACAAATCAGAAGTACCTAATAATCGACAACTCATATACGAAACATACTAGACCTATAATTATAATGAATCAAAGCCTTTTTCACGTAATGTACCGCGATGAGCGCACTCTTATGATTACAATATACCAACGCTACAGAGCAAGAGAGAAAGAGAGAGAGAGAGATGTGCATGTTGCATGTAAGCAGCTTATCAGCCAAGGTCGTAAAATCGTTGCCGATAACATGGGGCTTATCCTTAGTGACATTATACAAGTATAGGCATTGTTTGAAGTAGCATAAATCACGCAGTCTCACGGCTGCTCGGAAAAGTGAGCATGCATACATACTGCATACACGTACGCTATAGGTATGTAGCATAAAAAAGCTGCGACTGGATATACGCGCGTACAGCGCCTAAACGTACCTATCTGCTACGCAATGCAAGACCGAGCACTCGACCTTGAGAGCTAGATGAGAAAAATACACGCGAGAGCTAGACAAATCCGAGCCACCGTCGCGCGTTGCTAAGCTGCTTTCGCTGTCAACGATACCCATTGGTGAACGCAGCAAAAGAAAGACTGCGAGCGAGAGGGAAAACGAACTGCTCCGCGTTAGCTGCGTGCTCCTGCATCCGCGCCATCCATTCTCCCAAACTTTGAGAATCGAATTTTTCGTCGTCCGAGGCACGGTCGAACATGTCGCGCATTAGCGAAAAATCGAGCACCGATTCTGTGATTGAGCGAGTTATGTTTTTTTTTCTCGCGTAGGCAAGTTATAGGAGTGAGCTCGAGCGAGCGAGCCTATAGCAGCAACTTGATAGTTTTCTTGCATTGCGTGTATACACGCGTCGATCGCGTACAGCACTTGCGGCATTATATGGCTATTGTACAACCATTCAGTCGCGCAGTGATTGATTTTTCTCATTTCAATTGCTGTTACTGCTGCTTTATCTTGATGCGCGATCGTCATCGATCGGAATACACCTTCGAGTCATATTGTACATTGGAAGATCGACATTTGTATGCAATTAAATGGCCGAGCCAACGAGCTCCTGTATCAGTACTCGTGTGCCGCCGTATTATATGAGAGGTGCTGAATTATGTTGGAATAAACTCATACCGCTTGCGGTCGCATCTGTTGAGGCCAATGTTTAATTAGTAAGAAATGCAGTGGCAGCCATGCGATTCGCACCGAGTTGTATATGATATTTTTGACGTTTGGTGCGTAAACGCGTCCGTCGATCCACAACTACCAAAAGTTCTCCAGCCATGTATTTAATTGAATTGACGATTGCGCAATTGTTGACCTTATTTCCTCTCTATCTTTTCTATTCGGATTAATTTTTCACGAACGACGAGCCCCCATATACTGTATTAGGCATACCACTGCGTTCGCCATTTACCGATGTACGTAGATGAGATCTGGCATGCGTACGTCCGGAGCGTGCGTATCTACACCGGTCCGATTCACGAAATCCCCACGAGCTAAAGTTTTTCAAAATACAATCGATCATTAATGATTTTTGAGCGCTTTTTTCTGTGCGAGTCCTATCTTGTCGTTGTATACACACACACGCACAACACTGGCGCACACACACGCGCGCACACACATTTTCACATCTCCGCGTGCATCCGTTCTAAAAAAAGATGCTCATCCATCGGTCCGTTCGTATGTTAACTCTCTTTCTCCGTCTGTATAAAGACGCGCTCCTCGTGCCGCTGAAAAAAAGAGAGAGTATCGTATAACAACATCTCTTTCTCTCTCGAAAGGTGCGTGGACCAGCGGCAGCGTCTCTCTCCCCAAAGAAAGGTGTATACCTTATGCCTGCGCGAGAGCCTGGGAAAGTATCCGACCGAAAGCAAAAGGAATATATCGCGAGCCGCGTCGTCCTCGTGTCTGCATATACTGACTACTTAGTACTTACTCTCAATATATATTACACCGTGTAAATACCTGCGTTAGGCTCCGAGATGAATCTCGCTGCAGCCGTGCTCGCCATCTCGGCTCTTTTAACGTCGACTTTGATGATTTACAATTATTTTTTTTCTTTGCCCACGGATGATCGGGAGAGGCACTGCACAGAATTTTTGCAGAACCGAATTTAGAAATCGACCACGGTGACGCGATTTTCCATGTAGACCGCTACACGTGCTTTCGATCGCGTCGATTCGCAATCGTTGGCCTGTGGCGTTGACAGCTAAAAACAGCCGCGGCAGCCGCGCCAAGACGACAGCGACAGTAGCGACGGCGACGCGTCATGCTTCGTACGCACGCGGATACTAATTTTGCGGCCGTAAGTTCGCTGGAAACCTCGGCGCGCACACCTCCGCACGACTCCCACTATTTGTATAATGTGCCCCACTATACCTATGTATGTAATGTAAACGCACGGCAGAGAGCAAAATATGAGCGAGCAACTTGACTGCGCGTATGTGTGTGTGTATGTTTGTGTGTGTGTGGAGGCGTGAGTGTGTATCTTAAAGCGTCTCTCGAGCACAGAGGACAACATTTTATATAGAAAGCAAAGGGGAAATGGTCATGTTTTCGAGCCGATCTCTGCTCTTCAACCGTATAAATAAGACCAACTCACGCGGAAGCTTATCATCTTCAACGAAAATCTATTTTTCTCTTCTTTTAATCCTTTTTTGCTTCTCATCTCGACTGTCATTAATGGAAAAGCATAGGACAAGTTTTGACGGCGTATAATAATGAATAAAAAATACGCTTATTAAATCGCACTCAATGATTTTCTTTATTATGTATGTTGTTTTCAAACATTGGGTTTTTAGTGATGAGAAACAGATCGATTGTATTTGCAACGTCATGAATAGTCAATGGTCGTGGCAAGTTACATAAATGATGTTCAAAATTATATATTGTTGTTTCGCTTTAATTGATTCTCGAGTAAATATATTACAGTGTGCTTCGGACTCTCGCTCATCTTATGCGAACATACTATACGCACACACGTACACTGTGCACACTCTTACTTACATATATTGCGAGCAGTCTAATAAAAGCCTACCTCGTGCATACGCGTCTACTTGTTCTCTTTTTCACGAAGCAAATACTCTCGGCGCTTTTCTTTTTATGCAATCTACTGGGGAGTGAAAACCACGTCTATTATAGAATTCATCTCTTTCTCTTCTTCTTTCTCCGAGCCAGTGATAAAATTAGTAGTGTGCGTGAAGTTTTATTGTCATGCCGGCAGGCGCACGACGTTATCTTTTTACCAACCGTACAACAGCCTCGTTGCTAATGCACTTTCGAATCTTTCTAGGAATTCAATCTACTGCTACATGTACTGATCCACACAAGTACACAAACTTATGCGCGTGTGTATTTGCTTGTATTCATTTTTCGCACCTTTTTTTCTCAAAAGATGTTGAGACTTTTTTTATTTCTTTGAAACGTTACGCAAATTAACGCGTCAAACTTTTTAGAATTTTCTCGCACGTTCAAATGCATAAAAACGCGCCACTAACGAATACGCACATTTACATATTCCAAAGACTTTTTAAAAGTTGAAAATATACTGCAATAAAGTGACAGAAACAAACACCATCCGTATTTCAGTTTATTTCTTTTTTTTTAATGTAATAAATAAGATGCGCTTACTGTTTACTATTATTGATACATGGTAACAATATGATGTATAATCGATCAATTGATCTTAATTTTTTCTTCGTTAATTAGTCTTGATAGGTAATTAACGCGCCTTAATTGCTATTGACGTTTCACACTTAATCGACCTTCTTCTTGAGTGCATCGAGTCGTTCGAGAAGAGGAGGGTGGCTATGGTGCCAGTTGGAGTAAAGTTTATCGTAAAGTGGATAGCCCAAGTTATCTTTGTGCAGTTTGATGAGGGCCTGCTTCAGTGGCTCAGCATGTCCCAAACCCAAAGCATAGCGATCAGCTTCGAATTCAAATTTTCGCGAATTGATAGTCATAGCCCATGACAGAAGCTGTAAAAAACGACAGGTTTGAGCAATAAATTTTCATTAAGGTAAAGATATGCAAATCGTGACCTTAAGTGGTATTGGCGTTGAAAATAAATGTATAATCAATCATCGATTTTGAAAATAACACCGAAGGACTAGGTCAACTTAACTTATGACAGACGTAAAATCAAAAAAAAAATTAAACAAAAAAATTGACAATGATGCGGGTACGCTCATCGAAAATAATAATACAGTCTCTCAATAAAAAATTGAAACACGCTTAAAGTATTCATCGATCACATCATCTTGAGAACGACCGGATACGGAATTCAGCTCGAGACCTGTTCCTGCTTTTTTTCACTTTGCTCAACGCGCACGACTCCCACTAGATATAATAAGCATGAATATGATTATAATGGGCAACTTTTCTTAACAGCCGCCCACACTCAGACACGAGCTAATGCACATTCTCTTTTTTCGCGAGCTTTCTTTAATAGTTAATGAGATGAATGTCAATAAACAAAACTAGCGCGTGACCCTCGGACCCCCCCCCNCCCCCCCCCCCCCCCCTCCCCCTCCTTCCTCCCACTTCATCGCTCTCACGTATAACTAAAAATATTGTAAAAAATTCAACGAGTTTTATTTGCTTTTCTTCAAGCTATATCTTACCTTATTCACAGGTGCGAGAATGTTGTTCAATACGATTAGCAGTCCGATGAATACCGGCTTACTATCGGTGAAACCGAGGCCTTCATACATTGGCGAGTAATGCAATAGTTGCGCGAACAATACGAAATTCACAAGGAAAATCACCTGAAATGAAATTAATTTTCTCATTTTATAATGTTATAAGTCACGGAGATAATTTGATTTTTCGACTGACTGAAAACGAAAAAAATACTCAACAAGAGTATCGATGCGTAATTTTTTTCGCATAGCACCGTATGACGTAATTTTTTTCTTTCTTTCTTACTTTCTTTCTTGTCAGTTGAGCACAAGGAAAAAAGAAATCTTACCTGTCCATAGAGGAAGCCCTTGAGTGCATGACTGTGGTGCCAGTGCCCGAGTTCGTGAGCGAGCACAGCAATAATTTCATCCGTTTCGCAGCCCGGAATCTCCTTTTCTTCCACTTCTCTATTTGAAAAAAAAAAAAAAAAATCCTTACAAATCATCATTTAGACGACAAACAAAAGTCATCATTGCTTAAAATAAAAGTCGAGCGGGGATTAATAATCGCGTTCTCAGTTGTAACGACCAATCGGCGGTCTATTATTAATACGGTCAACGAGTCTCGTCAAGCTCAAGTGAACATCGCACGCGTTTTGCATACGCGCACTTCAATGCGCACTAGGAGCTCTCGTATTACTCGTAATATTACATCACAGTTACTGTATGGATCTCTTGCATTACGTAAAAGTTACTGTACACACCTATGGACAAAACCAAAAAAGAAGTATTTTTCGCGCGTCTCCTTCGATTTTTTTTTCAACCCAAATGCATTTTCATGTCATTTAAAATTCGATTCTCAGATGTTTATAAATTGAAGGGAGACAGAAAATAAAAATTAAAATGAATTAAAATACAAAAATGCATATCGAGAGAGCTCACGGACGCAATGCTACCTTGGAAAAAAAATATACGTCAGCATCACTGAATTTTATCGAATCTGTCGCTAAAAAAAGTACTAATCGTATATTCATTCTGAACTCTTTCAAACTTACTCTTTGCCGCTAGCCCTGGCCTTCTCACGTTCTTCGTCAGCCTTCTTTTTTTGATATTCGTATACGAGAGTATCGAACAGTACGATCCTCTTGTACTTGTAGAAACCATAAAGGTACGCGTTACTGTGAGACGATCTTCGCGATCCCTCGACTACGTATAATTTGTACAGAGGAAAGCCAAGACTAGATGCTAGAGCTTCGATTCGCACTTTCAAGTCTCCTTCTGGCAACGCAGTGTATTTGTCAAATAGAGGTGCAATAAATTCTGGATATATCACCATAAGAACGAGACTCATAACCACGGTGAAAATCCACAAATAAAGGATGAAATAGTCACCGCCGTTTTTGATGATCCAAACAATACCGCATATCAGTGGTACAATCAATACCTAAAAATCGATAACTTTTCGTTAACCAAACTATCAATACTTTGAATGATAATTTAGTAGATTACGTATTAGGAGGGGCGAAAATCGGAAAGCCTCAGAGCACATGTAATTATCGTCCGAAGCAAGGCCGAGCCGGACCAACTTGCGCTCTGAGGCTTTATTTTTTTGCTACAAAGGTGCGTATAGTATTTTTCAAGAATTCCCCAGCAAAAATTTACTTTTTCATTTTGGCTGCAGGTCCGGAAAAGTTTAATTTTGACAGGGGTAGCATGAATATTAATTGATAACTTACGTATGACACAATAAGCTTAGTGAGTTGGTCTTTAATGAAGAATCCAGCAGTTTGTTTATTAAATTTGTGTTTCTCTTCGATAACAAAGGTTTCATAAATGGAAATAGGCAGATCGCACAAAATCGTAAAAATGATCATTTTAACGGTTTGACAACCAGCAGTCACATAAATCTCGTTGTTAGGATCCAACCCGCAAGATTCGGTTAGTTTTCTTCCATATTCCCACGATAGCAATGGTCCCCAAAAAACAAGGAAGGCCTAAATAAAAAAAAGAGTCAAAAAGTGCTATAGACATTACGATAAAATGGATAAATTTTAATGACTCACCGTGTTCAAAGTTATTGAGTAGATTCCGGCAATGATACTGAAAGTACTCTTGTCCAAAGAATAAGTCCTCGATTTGTCGTAAGTTTCTTTTGGTAATACGCCGTCCAAGACTTTTGGTGGCTCGACTAGACTTTGAACCAATTTTCGCTGTAATGGAAATAATATTTTTTAACAGTTATAGGAAGAGATTTCCACTTGACAAAAGCTAAAAGCAATTGCTGTAACGCGTTTTTACGAAAAAAAACATGGTGTGAACGGATAATAATCTGAACAAATGTTTTACTTGACACAAGTCGTCGAAAGAAAGATAACGATTTGAATCGCAAATATTTCTCATCGCGTATCAAGTATATGAAAGTGCGAAACAATCATAATGCGCGCGTCTAGAAGGGTTCAAACATAACCTCAGAAAATCTTCAAGCGTTAAAATTTATGATAGTTTAATTGTTTGAAATTAAAAATTATCAGTTTTAAAAAAATTATAATATCTACATGCGCAAAGGCAAAGGAATATTATAGTTAACGTAGAAGACCTCTATAGTGTTTATAGAAAAGTAATAAGAATGATACAATGCTTTTCCTTGTTTGGAAAAACTTTACAAAATGCGAAGAACAAAAAATCTTACCTGACGGAAAGTTAGATAGAGTTCCCATAAGAAAATAACTAAGGAAATGGTCACAATGCCAGAAACGATATGTTCCCGGACATACTCGTCAACCGGCGACACAATCTCTCCAGCCGGTAATTCGTTTTTACTCGCCATAATGCTACACAATATAAAAATTTTAATCACTGGCGCACATGCTGTCTCTTACGCGGGATAAAGTTTATCACGACTTTATTGCCTTATTTTCTGATGTGAAGAAAATTTTCTTATTTTAATCTCGAATTACAGTCTCAAATTGTACTTGAAACGCTGGCGATATAACTAACAAGTGCAGATGTTGTCGTATAGACGGCTGCTACGAGAAGTCAGTCATTTTGCGACGCTAGCAGATTGCTTGTTTTGCCGTTGTGCCAGCGGCGCGCCACTTCGAACTCACACTTCACAGTCAACAGTCACGAGTCACCGCGAGCGCAAGCAACGAATCCTTGTGTTGGCTGCAGTGTTTTATTACAAATATTTGAAAACTTTTTACTAATGGCATGATTATTTTTTCAACTAAATTCTTTATTGAATATTTCTATAAATATCTAATAATATATATACTGACAAAGAAAATGATTCAACAGTTGTGGGACCAATCCTTACAGACTGCTATAGCATCTGAATGCATTTGAATCATTTTGTCAATAAATAAGGTAACTGTATACTAATACCCAGGCAGCTAAGAAGTGATGTTCTAGTATCCTGCCATTTTCTTGTAAAATTATTGAAAAAATTAATTACTAAATTACTGAAAACGTAGCAATTAATTACGTTATTTATTTTGATAATGAAAATTCATCGATTGTGTTTGAAGCTGTCTAAGTTCGTAAGGGATTTTGAAAAAAATGGTTTGAAACGTCATAATTTGAAATTGAAAAGCAGACAGCTATTGGTCTTAAGCAAGAAAACTTTGCAAAACAAAAATTGCATTTACTGAACAATAATTAACTCGATTATACCATTTAAAACGTTTTAAAACTTGTTCGAACGCCCTTAAAATCATGCGATTTATGATAAGAAATATTAATAGTATTGGTAGTATTAACGTTCGTAAATTAAATAATAAATTCAAGTTGTCCTTGAATATACCATATTTTATAAAACGCATGGTTCCTACAACATCTTAGATGAATCAATTTTTGGACGCAATTTTAGTATGTGTTATTTTACATAGAAAAAAAACGCCGAAGCTACAGTTCTAAATCCTAATATCGCACGTAAGCACCTAGAATCATATGAGCATCAGTTTTTATTTAAGTCGATTCCGAAGCCATTTTAGACTTGAAAAATTAAAAAAATTTAGTGTCGTACCTTTCAACAGTCCAAAAACCTCCAAATTTTTTCATATTTTCGAATTAACTTTATGACTTGATAAAAATTATGGAAAATTTGAAAAGTTAATGTGAGCGATCTGATTTGAAAGTGACCTGGAAATTCATCTTTTATTTGGTCCGAAAGACATATAATTTAAACAAAAATCGTTTTTTGGAATTGGAAGCGAGTTGTTTTGCCTCATCGCATTACTCGTTTCAATATTGACATTCATTCTTGGAGCTAATAAAAGGAATGATGAACTTTTACTTGAGCGACTCGAATCTCATCAGCAAAAAAGTGCAAAAGTTCGGTCGCTTACCTGCAGTTGTTAATAAAGTACGCAAGTTGTATAGGCGGAACAGCTGGCTGCTGGTGACCTCTGCAGACCGTCGAGCGAAGCTAGCACCATTGCTACGTAACGAAAGGCGTGTACTGTTTAGCAAAACTTTCCCGGGCATACATACGAGAACCGTCAAGCGATCTTATAGCTAGCTATATACGAAGATGCAACTATATATAGATATGTTAATGCGCAAAGCAGAGCAAATTGCCGTAGTCCATGAGTCAGCGCCGCACAGCTGTTCGAGGCTCGGGCTCTCGAGTCTCGATGTGTATTGCTCGTATGTGTGCATTCGTTGCAAACACATACCTATACGTGGATGGCGTACACATGCGCGCTTACACATGTAAACATGCTCCATTGAATCATCATATGATACCAAAGAGCCGCAGCGTAACTCACGAGCGATTTTGTCAGATCGCAAATAGCTTCCACTTGTTGATACACACGTACATGGAGAATATCGCTGTGCGCACGAGATAAAAATTCCTCGGAGCTGGCTGCAGTCGAAAGGCGCTCGTAACTCGTCGTTCTCGGGGGCCAACGAAAATATTAAGCTCGAGTCATCTGTGCACCGCGCACACATAGCTTCACGCGTGACATGTGTGTTAGTGAGTGCCGTTAAAGGACCGGAGCAGCGTGGCGTGTTGTTGCGTCGCGCGAACGAACAAGGTACTTATAGCAGCCGGCGCTCACCTTAGCAGTCAGCGCCGAGGCCCGAAACAGAGATAGAGAGAAAAAGAGAGATACGCATCAAGGCACAGATTTTTCGACACGTCTCTTTGCGGACGCGCTTATTATTCGGCCGATTACCCAGAGGTGAGTGGGCACCTTTATTCGAGCCAACGCTCTCTTTTCCCTCTCACACCCTCGTGAAACTTTTATAATAGTGCCTGCACGCGGCTAGCGAAAGTAGCGAGAGCGAGAAAGCCCGCGACGCATCGGTCTTATCGTATACCAGTTTGCATGAATCAGCATTTTTTCCTCGGCTTTTCGCCATTCTCCGTGTATTCTGTATGTACGTGCTCGTACCGATAATAGTCACACGAACGCGTGGGAGGTGCAACATCTTATTTTCAGAGATTTTTCCTTTTTTTTTTCTCCCGACGAGCACCATTTTTCCCCCTTTTTTCTAATAAAACATAATTCCAACGCGCATTCCGACTATCTTGTTTTCGATCCATTTATCCAATTAATCTTCAAGCACGTCCAGAGCTCTCGCAACTGATAAGAACGAATTTTCGAAATCTCGCCTAACGATTACTTTCAGACAACTGAATAAACTTAAGAAACTAAAAAAACGACATATCGATCGAGCGCGAGAATTGCAGAAAAATAATGCAGAGTGATTAAAAGCCAAGATTTCACGGGGTGTTGGAATAAACTCCATATTCTTTTTTCCAGTATTAATTCCGATAAAAAGAAAAAACGAAGAAACTTAATTACATCTCGGGAGAATGGAGATCGCTCGTTCAGCCGCATACTCAGCTTCTTTTAATAAATCTGGCCAGGTTTTAACGGCGTACAAATGAGCTTAACTTATCACGAGAGATCGGATTTTACATTTAAAAATTCTAGAATTAAATTTTAAAAGCCTTTGAAATATGACTTGTGCTATATGCTACGTGGGTGGTGCCTTACGAGCGCGTGCCCTCGGAATTAGCTACTCGACAAGCTTAAAAAGACATCCTTCGTACCATCTGCCTGCGCAAGTCCAAGCAACGAGCTTTTAATGGATTTTTCTATAATTGCACGAGTTTTTTGTTATAGATAATTCAAAATGATACTATGTTTTTTTTTCGATTCAATAATGCCATAACGAAATTTGAAACGTGACTGGGAATTATTGACGCGATAGCCGAGAGTCAAGAAGTCAAAGTTATCCCGGGCCATGCTAAAAAAATAAACTACAGTAGCAAACCAATGATAACAAAAAAGAGTACTGCAACTCATTGAACTACACGCCCATTGCCGTAGAACGCGCGTTGTAGTATAAAGTTCATGTATACGCTCGCGTGCGGGGCTCGAGGAAATTAAAAAAACAAGTTATAGACACTAGAGCTCGCAGAAATACGTATAGTAGCCTTTTATCACTACGAGAGGATGTGGATATTTTGTGTATCGAACTGCGGCCAAGTGCTATACGATCGGGCTTTATTACGAAATTCTAGTAGTACTCGCCGACGAGAGAATAGTAAAGCGAGACTTTTATCACTCGCCTCCCGACGAAGATTAAACACTTCTTTCTCTTTATTGTAACGACTATCGACCTTTATTTTTGTTTTCAGTGTGAAAAAAAGATAACAACAAAAGCAAGAAGAAAGAAAGTAAGAGAAAATCATGAAAGTAATAGCGGCGCTGTGGATACCGGCCAAGAGTGGCCTCAACGAGGCGTTCAAAGGCCGAGAACCCTGGGAGATCGTTGGCATGACCTCGGCGACCATACTTGCTGCTGTTTGGTTTTACAATATTATCAATCACGAGGAGAGTGAGTAATACAACCAATTTGATCATTGTTCTCGTTACAAATTTTCATCAATTTTTAAGGATAACCAAATTCATTTATTTGAAGATGCATACTTACACTTGTCCTAAAAAAATGACTCTTGACTCACTTTTGATAATCACTCATACCTTTGATAAGCTCAATGAGATACATTTAACTTTGTCTCTTTTACACTTGTATTCGTGAGATTTTACGTGCTTTTGATATCTATAGTAGTTTGCCCTCATAGCTACGCCGCTCCGTCGGATCTGTCACCCTCGGCTGCTGATTGTCAAAGTGTCAAGATTATAGCCCGAGCATAGTGCAAGATTGATGAACGTGCTAGTTGTATACATTATAGCGTGTGAAAAGTTCTACTTCCTCGCACGGTTGGCGATCATAAAATCGACTTTCCACACGTTATAATGGAAAGTATAGTTCACAACTGGGATGATTGTCAATCTTGTATCTCTCTACGCTCGGGCTGCAAACTTGACACTCGTGCGAGGTAGACAACCTACCGCCCCCGTTGCGTAATCTACTATTTAAGATGCTTAGAAGTGCGTAAAGCAAAACTTTCTACACGATTTATTGGTCATAATATTTTGTTCCCATGAGTCGGTATCACTTCTTCGTGCCTGTGTATAAGCATAGACGATCCTATCACCCCGCCTGACCCTTGAAAGTGCTATCGAACCTCCTTAAGTAACCTCGGAGCGCGTTTGCAACATCTAGTTTGCTTAAAAGCAAGATTTCAAACCTCATGTCGTACGAAAATTTGGTCAAATGTTGTCGTAGCGCTAGTTACGACGTTTAAGGTAGCCATTCCTGGAGTTACGTAAGGTATCATCCGGTGCATCCATCGACCATTTGTCGACCGATCCCATTGGGATATCTCACCATCTCGTTTTTGAACTCCATATAAATCATCAAATTTTATATACTTTTATTGTAAATTAAAATATACTTTCTTAGATATAAAAGAGCGCTTGAAGAAGTTGACAGTGAAATTTGGTCGAAAACTACCGGCGATCCAAAAGATGATCCAGAGTAAGATTGATGAATTGGACGACGATTTCCAAAAAGACGCAATGAAGAGGCTCAAAGGCGAGAAATTTTTTACGACTCTGCCTGATGGGCCTATGGATCATCAGGAAATTCTGAAAATCGTTGAGCACAGCGTCGATTTGGGTAAGTCGTGACAACAAAACAAACGTGTGTTTGTTTGTGCATGTGTGTCAGTCAACGAAGTTTAATTAACATCGCACTTACCCCTGTAATACTTTGTTAACTTTTCGTAATGAGCGATTCTAGTTAATTAAGTAATGCAAAATAATTACAATCGGCGCATGTCAATGAACGTCGCGCTGTACAACTACAATTTACGCATACAAATGACCTCATTAAACGAACATATACAGTATTTGCGTCGCGTGCGCTTAAAAATATGATGATACTAAATAATAACGACAATTTTTATACCAAAAGGTAGGAAAAAAGGGCTGAAATCGATTGAAACGTTCTTTCAAAAACCAAGAACAGCTGAAAATATATATTACTTTTAATAAACAACCATCGTGTAAAGTAGCGGTTTTTGTTTAAAAATTTTCCGCACTAACACACATATACACTCATACTACATGAAAATTTATTTAACAAAACGTGACACCATAAACGAAAGCAATTTAAAGTCGTATAAAAATTTTCTGCGTGCCTCGTTACTTCGGCATTTTAATTTTATTCGACTGTTGGGGAAAACAAGGCGATTACGATTGGAAGAACGGCCGAGTGTCTGGCTGCGTTTACAGAGCGAACGATGAAGACCTCGCTAGCCTCGTCAAAGAAGTGTACGGCTTGGCCTCGCTCACGAACCCACTTCATCCCGACGTCTTCCCGGGCATCTGCAAGATGGAGGCCGAAGTCGTCAGAATCGCTTGTCGATTGTTCAACGGTGATGATAATTCCTGCGGTACCGTAAGTATTACACCCACTTGTACGCTATAGAGTGTTCAATTCCGTAAAAGCTGAAAACAAAAAAACAGTGTAAAAGGGATCGCTCGATGTATTCGAGTAAGCATCAGTAAAAACAACAGTAGATGGATTAGCATAGCTAGTGTGCCCACTTGACTATTTTGAGCAGTTGCAGAATTAAACGCCTTATTATAGTGCAGCTATCATAGCGGGCAAAAAAAGAGATGGGGTAGCTCATTTTTTATAATCACTGCTCAAATGATTAAAAACCACTTCAATTAGATTAAAAAAAATAAATTTAATAAAATTGCAAAAAAAATTTTAAATCATAACTTTTGACTTATTCTAAAATGATTGAAAAAAATTTTTTTTTCACTCCTTTATTTAAAAAAGTAAAAAAATTAAAAACGATTAAAAAAAATTTCTGAACCATTTTAGAGAAAACTATATAGATTAAAACAAGTTGATCTCGGGCTCGCTAAAAATCTTTTTTTTTACGAGGAATCAAAATGAGGTTTTAGCAGCTTTATCATTATATTGAAAAAAATATCTGAAATGTTAATATATTTGAACGAAGGTGTGAGATAGATTTTCCAACGTTGTTTCTACAGATTCTAAGAGAAATATAAAACTAGTATATTGCAAAAAGAGTTCATTAATTTTAGCCAAGTTGAAATAAAAAAAACGAAAAATTGCGCGGTAAAGATTCAATTTTATAGTAATAGGATGATGTCAAATCCAGGCGACGTGCCTTTGATTTTTTCTGACCCACGGGAACTTTTAACACAAATCTGGCAACGATAGCTGTTTGAATGACTCGTACACACATTGACATTGATACGTTCGTGAAAATTTTTGGTACGCAGCTATATGCAACTAACCAATGTCTAAATTACAAGTAACGCAATGTCTAAAAAAACAAAGTCACGTGCACAGTCGTGAAAATGTATATTTAAAAGAAGCTTCTCATTAATACATAAATTTTTTTCTTCGCTTTGTGTAAACGCAGATGACGACTGGCGGAACAGAATCGATACTACTGGCTTGCAAAGCCTACCGGGACTACGCCAAAGAAGTCAAGGGCATTACGAAGCCGGAAATGGTCATGCCTACCACCGCCCATTCAGCCTTTGACAAAGCGGCTCAGTACTTGAAAATTAAAGTGCGCACCGTGCCGATACACCCGAAAACCTACACGGTCAACTTGCAGGACATGAGAAAGGCGATAAATCGCAATACGATTATGGTGAGTTAGCTTTTGCCTTTTTCTTTTCTTTCTTATATAATATACGCACATATGCTCGACAGTATAAATGCAATAAGCGTTTAGAGAGATATTTACGGTGCGAGGCTCCACGCATACGTATACGGGTGGTTAAATTAAACGAAGATACATTAGTTGTACGTGAGACGCTTACTTGTGCTTTTATATTCGCAGCTATATATATACTTTTATGAAAAAGGGCAGCCAACAAGCTAGCTAACACGCGCTTCGAGTTCAGCGCGGCAGCTCGCGCTGCTTTACTCTTCATTCGCGCGTTATGTGCCATTGTCAGTTTGATCAGAAAATCTTTGTGCTTATGGAAATAAGTACCATTGTTATACGGTTGCGTCTATTGTATAAAATATCAACGGTAATGGGCAACGATTTGTTAGCGACCACTTCGCGCTTTCGGTCATTAGTAATTGTAATCGACTCTCAGTCACACCTTTTTTCGGTTTTGCAGATAAACGTGGCAAAAGTTTTCATTAGCTATGCAAAATAGCCACGAGCTTGCCTCGTTTCGCTACGTGTTTAAACCTCCTTTGCCGACAAGATAATTCTAAAATATGGAAAATCTCGTTGAGAGGGGAGCTTTGAACACTCAAAGCTGCGCACTCTTTCTCGCGTTACGAACAACTTGAATAAAAAAGTGGACTTTGAATTTACATAAATTTGCATCAATGCGCGTTAATTAATGAAGCATGAAATTTTTCTGTTCTGTAGCTCGTCGGCTCAGCACCAAACTTCCCATACGGCACGATGGACAACATCACGGAGATCTCGCGTCTCGGACTGGAGTTCGACGTGCCCGTCCACGTGGACGCTTGTCTTGGTGGCTTTCTCATTCCGTTCATGCGCCAGGTTGGATACTACTTGCAGGATTACGATTTCAGCTTGCCCGGCGTCTGCAGCATTAGTGCCGACACGCACAAGTATGGTTATGCTCCTAAGGGCTCATCCGTCGTATTGTATAGGGATAAAAAGTATCGCCATCATCAATATACCATCTCAACCGAGTGGCCGGGTGGTATTTACGGCTCACCGACCATCAATGGTTCCAGAGCAGGGGGCATCATTGCCGCCTGCTGGGCCACCATGATGTACTTTGGTCGCAAGGGCTACCTCGACGCTACACAAAAAATCATCTATACCGCTAGATACATCGAAAAAGAGTAAGTTGAAAAATTTATGCGAAAAAATAAATTCTTGTTCTGTCGCACTTATTTATATAAACTTTTTGTTACTAAAGCATCGAATACTATTGGTTCAATTAAAAAAAAACGTAGCCAGTTCATCAAACTGCTCACTGCGTGCATATGAGTGTTGTCGGTTGAAACGATATTTTTCAAGTCCCAAAACATTTCTTCAAAAAATTAACTGATTTTTTGATGAATAACGGTGCCTTATTGTTTTTAAAACTATAAAATGAAAAACTGCACACTAACACACTTACAGCTCGTTTAAAATTATTAAAAATCTATATCAATGTTATATTACATCGCGATGGCAAAATGCATGATTAATTTTTTACTCAAAACCATCGAAAACGTTTCTAAATACAGGCATTTTGAAAAATTTTCCACTATTATAATGTTTAAAAAATTTACTCGTTTTTCCGTAGCAACTGACACAATAATAACCAAAACTCGCAGTATTCTTAAACATATTCAACAAAATTGGTTAACAATAGAAGCACGAATTTTGAAGCTTTGTCCGTTGATGGAGCTTGTTTTAATTAAGGTAACCCACCTCTGAGTGACAGACATAATAATGCAAAAATAGACCTATTTTGGCGAGAAAAAGAATCAAAAAGTTTATTTCATTCAGTTGGAATGTATCCTCACTCGAAGTTGATAAAAAGGCGAAAGTTTTTTTATTTATATATAAATGTATCAATGTAATATAATTAATATATCAAAATATTCACATGCAACTGTGTCGAGGGAGGTGACAAGAAAAACATTGTTTTAGCCAATCTCACAAGTATATATAAATACGATACCAACTGATTCTAGACTATCGCTCAATTAGTTTCGTTAATATTTTCGAACTCACTTGCAATTTGATTTTAAACTTTTTGAGAAATCGATACTCACGAGCACAGCAGGTTTAATTGATCGTGCAATTTATATTCTACTCATTTCAAACGGCTCGTTTAACTAATTGTTTCGAGATTTGGCGAATCGAATTATATCGTTTTATTTCTTTTATATCGCTGTAGTGAGTGCGACAGCTCTTTTTAATTAAATGACGATGAAACTGTATATTGCGTCAAAAAGTTGCGATAAAAGAATTAGCACTGCGGTTTTGTCCAAATTGCTGCGCTTAACGAGCCTTCAGAGAATTTAATACGTATCGGAGAGCTCATCCAACAAAAAATTTTTACCTCTACTGCTTGAATTCCGCAACATCGATTCACATGCTCTTTCATTTCTCGTCCCTTACATGACAAACACACACTTACACGCGCACATGTACTCACGTTCAATTAATTTTTTAATTCAATGATAATTATACGATGGCTTGGATTGCAGGCTACGCAAACTCCAGGGGATTTACGTAATGGGTAAGCCAGCGACCTCCGTAATAGCCGTGGCCTCAGATGACTTTAACATTTTTCGGCTCTCGGAAGCTCTGAATAAGCGTGGTTGGAACCTCAATACTTTGCAATTTCCCAGCGCTTTGCACATCTGTGTGACGCTCGTACACACGGAGAAAGGAGTCGCGGAGAAATTCGTCGCTGACCTTAAGCAGGATCTCGAAAGCATTCTCAAAGCACCCGGTGAACAAGCCTACGGAATGGTAAGTATAGCAATTTTCCACGCTTAAATGTTTACGCTTTCGCTTTTTCAATCGATCCACCATCATTCATAAGCCCCCTCGATGATAATTTATTGATGATATATTAACGATTAATGCATCATTTAGAACTTTGATGTTCAAGATTGGATGCATGCGCCTTTAGGTCAAATTTGAGAGGATTATAACGTGCTAGATAAACTCTACTTGTGTGGCTTGAAAATTAAATAAAAGTTTCACGCCATTATCGAAGAAAATAAGATCGCGATGAAACGAGGGAAAAAACTTATCGAAACTAATGTTCAGCTTATTTTTCTAGGTTCCTAGGCTAGTTGAGAAAATAGAGTTATCGGGTATATGTTACCGCGAGTGTATGTGCAGCTGATCATCGTGTGATTTATTTTATGTGCGCTTCTTCGATAAAAAGCGTTTTTTTTTCTAGTACGTCGCAAAGTGCGAGCTGAGATTGAATTAGAATTAAAAAAAATATTACCGAGTATATTACACACAACCGATACATAATCGATATCAAGCAGGAAACAAATATTAATAAAGAAAAAATATCTATTATTTGGTTCGTCTACGCATAAACAATTTTTAATATAATCGAATTATATTCTAGTTGTCTCGTAAAAATAATTGACGGATTTAAGGTAGCTGGGTGATGATAATAATAATAATATCGATTTAGCGCATCTAGGTTGGTATTTACAAACTACGACGTATCGTAATTGAGTGATTCTGACTAACTTTTAAAATAACGCCTAAAAAAATTTTTGATGAAAAATTTAGCGGCACAGTATCCGGAATGAATTTTTCTTGAATATTATCAACAAAGAATCCCAAAAATAACTTTGGGCTTTATTTTCCTCCATAGTCCATTTGGGAAACCCGATTTAAATGTGGGTCAAAATAAAACTTCTTCAAATTTTCGAATGACACCGATCTAGATGCGCTTTTGATATGTTATAGTACATGGTAAAAAAATCCTAAAGCCAAAATTTTACTCCCCATCCCCCCC